ACTTTATTACATTTAATAAAATGATGTACAATAGTGTCATTTACTCCACAATGGTCACATAAAGGAGAATTTTTAATTTTGAACTTGAACAGGACCGAATTACAAGGATAGATATTGTGAAGTGATTTCCAATGTAAAATACGGAGCACATTATCATTGGTACAATTATGAGCTCGCAACCAAGAGCTTTTATCAATTTTTACATTGTTCATTAAAACATCCACATTTCTACGTTTGACAAATTCATTTCTAAAACCTGAACTGGTACATTGTGTCATGTCTTTACCCATAAAATTCATTTTAACTTCATTAACATTCAAATTTTCAACAATAATCTTTTTGCCAATATTGGCTTTTAAGCCTATTTATTGAATTAGGGTTGTTGCATTTTTTCCAATGAAAAAGTTAATATCTCAACAACAAGATATGCCACCAACATAATACACACACCAACAGAAAGCTAAAGTATTAAACAAGCCACTTGAACCAATAAAAAAACAATTCACCCACCATAGACCCACCCTAGACACCACCAAACTCACACCAGCTTAACAAATCGAAAATACCGCAAACGCGGAAAACACCAAAAACACGACCAAACACGAACAAGTTAACAACTATTCTCATACGCACAATATGAACATAAAATATACCTGACCATGAAGCTAAAACAATGAACAAAACAACCAAATTAAATCTCAACATTGAACTGACCATACCCTGATGCAATTAACCAATACGCATTACACCCATTCGATAAAAACCGAATATAGAAAATCGAAATATTTGAAAAGCGGACCATCATACCCCACACTCAAGTTAATATCTCAACAACAAGATATGCTAACAACATAATACGTATACCAACTGAAAGCTAAAACATCAAACAGATTTCCTGAACCACCAAAATGTAATTTACACACAATAGACCTACCTGAGACACCGTCAAACTCACACCAACTTAACAAATCGAAAATATCGCAAAATGCGGAAAAATAAAAAATACAACCATACACGAACAAGTTAATGCCTCTTCGAACACACACGATATCAACACAAAATACACATGACAATGAAGCGCAATGAACAAAACAACCGACCCAACACCGAACTGTCCATACCCCAATACAATAACCAATACACCCATTTGATAAAAACCAAATACAATAAAATCGAAATATTTGAAATACGGACCACTAAACGGAACATTTAAGTTAATATCTCAACAACAAGATATACTACCAACATAATACATATACCTACCAGGAAAGCTGAAACATTAAACAAATCACCTGAACCACCAAAAACCCATTTATCCACCTTAGACCTGACGAATGCGAAACTAGCTTTTCGAGTTGGCAGTAACGTGAGATTTGTTCCATGAATAAATGACTAAAAAAGCAAAAGTATGTTTATTTATGTTCTTAATTTCAAAGTAGCATATCTGTCGAATAGTTGAGTATGCATTTAAATTGCTCAAAATAAATCGTTTGTGGGTAAACTAGCCCCAGGAAAATGGCATATATTTCCTAAGATTTTTTACCAATGATTGCCATAGCCATTTTAAAATATATGCTACCACCCCTAGCTTACATATATTGAGCTAATCCAATTATGTAATGTTACTAAACAAAACAAATCCGAAGGTCTACCGCAACACATGATATGATATGTAAGATGTGCTCGTTAAATACTTCATTGCTCTTGATGTGAGATGTTGTAGACAGTGTTAATGCAATTTACGTTCATGATCTATAAATTAAATTCGTAAACTTAATATCAAAAGTGCTAATATACGCCCCATCTTTTGAAAATGTTCGAAACTTTACTACGATATGATAGAAGCGCGTGTTTAATATTGTATTGCCCTTGATGTGATATGTTGAGGTCGGGGTTAATGCAATTCGTTCATAATATATCAATCAGAATAAGAGTAGAGAGCTTTTGGTTAATGTCATCGAGCGTCCAGAATGGAGCGTCCTGAATACACTCTGTTGCGGTGGGTGGTGTCAGGTTGTGTTGTGTTAATTCAACAATGGGTTGATTTGAGTTTGGTCTCGTTGGCTATGTTGTGTTGTGCTCGATTGTGTTAGTTTGATAGTCGATTGTGTTTTGGTGGTTGTTTGTCTAGTTGAGCCTGGTTGTGTTGTGTAAGTTTGGTATCGGGTTGTGTCTCATTAAGTTATGTTAATTTCAAAGTGGTTGTGTTATGTTGTAATGGTGTTGTGTTGGTCAGGTAGTGGGTCGTGCCCAGTAGGATGAAGTATCTAATTGTGTCAGATTGTGTTGCGTGATTGGTGTTGTTTTCAGAGAGTGTTGGTTGGGTGGTTTGGTATTCCAGTTTGGTTGTGCCTGATTGTGTTTTGATTGTTTTGTGTAAAATTGTGTTGTGTTACATCAAAAATGGGTTGTGTTTTGCTTTTGTTGTATTATTATTGGGTTGTGCCAAATTGTGTTACCTAGGGTAAAGCAAGCACGTATCATATATTTGCAGTCTAAGATAAACTCATTCTTGTGAGAGTTAATTATCTCATTGCTTTCAATGCAGAAATATTTTGCGCCATTTGATCAAAAGTAGCTTACACAATTAAAAATGTGTTCCAAAAGATAACATTCATTCTGGTTCGTATAGATTGGCATTTGTACTTCACAGCTTCAAGAGTGTGTGTGTTTATGTACTATTTGATGTAAAAATTACAAACGATAATCTGCAATTATATTCTAGAACTATATCTCGCTTGTCGTGTTGACTTTCGTGTGGTTGGAGATTGTTTACAATTAAAATACATCTATCTTTATCTCGTTAACTCTTCTAGACCCCAATTTTACATTCCCCATTATTACACCAACCTTCCATTGCTATACCTTTAATTGATCTTTTTAATCAATCAATAAAGTTACAATCAATCATTCAATTGATCTATAGATTTCCAATCAATCAATTATTTTGCAGGTTCGAAATCTTTTCAATCATTAAAGTTCCAATCAATCATTCACTTTCCAATCAATGAATTAATCTATAAATTTCCAATCAATCAATCAATCAATCAATCACTTTTTCCTGTAAATGATTTTCTCTTCTCGTTTTGCAAGCCATCTTTAGTCCCTTCCACATCTGTTGTTCCAAAGGAAGTTGTTGCCAGAAGTGATTTGATATAATTTGATGTTTCTCGACTCCTTTTTTGCATCGCTAGGGGGCAACACCTTCCGATATATTCAGTATTTTGGTAAATCTTGTACTTTTGATTTGTGTTTGTGGTCACTTTTTGATAGTTTTGAAAGATGGCAGCACCTCCTTGAGACCCTATTAAGACCATTTGCCTGTTCTGGGAAGTTTATATTGAAGTACTTTTAACTCCCATATTATTCTATAGAGGGAGTTATTAACAATAAAAACACACCATTAAACAATGCTAACAATATTATATTCACTGATATCAATATCAATCAACACAGGATCGAATTTACGTTGCTAGACCGCCTGCATTTCACTCACGCTATCATCTGTTTGTTTTATTATTATTAAATATATACGGGTTGATATTCTTTCATCCAGTACGTGATAATTAGGTAATCGTAGCCCTAATTCATTACACTAAACAAACCAGAAGGGAGGATAACACAGGACTATACCTCACCCTCCTAAACACGATGATGATTATAGGGCTTTTTTCATCGCCCCCAATTTGGTTGCCCCCCCCCCCTGGCCATAAATTCTTTCAAAATCAATCAGGTACATAGCCTATCTTTGGCCAAGAAATATCTGAACGCTCGATTACCACGACATCTTTTAACAAAGGGTGGCGATAATCGGATCCATATTTTTGTTCAAGAAATTATGGACGCTCGATTACCACGACATCTTTTAATAAAGGGAGGCGATAATCATGCTGGAATAGTGTACTCGTGGAACGGCAAACCAATGTCGTCTCATTAAATTAAATTTCTAATACTTTGTCACATATGTCATGTTATGAACTAAATTTTTCCGAGTTGCTATATGTATTCGAGTGCTTATCGGCACATCTGAGCTTTGCCGTTCATGCATGTGTTAGTGTTATATTACCAGCATCTCAAGTTTTGTTAAATGTAATATCAAAGCCATTTCCAAAAGCTTCCCCCGAACCCTAAGCCCCCGTTAGTCCAAACATTCATGCATTTGGAGTAAGTATGCTAGGTAAGGATTTATTTTACATAGCATATGCTGTAAGTGACCGGTACCTGATAGTGTTATAAAACCAATGCTCCGAGAAGACGATGCACAAAGACGTCGTACAATTTTTGACTATAACCTGTTGACACTCTTGCTTTAAATCAAATTCCAATAGAAAAGTTGATGCTTAACATCATAACCTTATGTGGATAGGGTGACCTCTCCGGGGATTTCCCCCCGGTACTTTTCTTTCATGAAAATATATTTTTTGTAATCGTTACAGATAAAATAGCACGTTTGGTGCATCATGCATTAACGATCGTGACTCCGGTAGTTTCAAAAATTGAGTCAGTAAAAAAAGTTGATTCAAAGTTCAACGGTGCTTTTTCGAGTAAAAATGCGCACACAAATAATAGAAACCAACTACATGTTATATAATGTTTCTTAGATTCTCTTGTCTCCTAGATTCATTCTCAGAGCAATTTTATTAATCGCAAGATTGCAACTGAAGAGCATTGGTTGCAAATTTTAAAATTCTTGTTTTTAATTATTCAGAATTAAAACTATATTGAAAGTCGTTTGAAAAGTTCTATGATTGAATCCCAAAACATAATTCATCGGTTTTTATCAGTTTGTTTAGGAGAGAATTATGATACATCAAATGCACTTGGAATCTTAAATCATAACATCAAAACGTACCAACTATTTGGTGGCAGAAAGTTCTATTAATAAGAATTATTCATACAATGTTTAACGTAACATGAGCTTTATATTGAAAGCAGTCTTGGATTTTCGGCAACCTCAAAACCCTCTATAACCCTTACAATAGCTTTTTCATGTTTTGTAGATTTCAACGAAAATGGAGTAGTTGATAAGGACGATTTTGACATCGTTGTTCAGGTATATCTTCTATTTTGGCATTCATAAAACAATACTCCACAGGTGGAGCTGTTGTAAAAAGCCGAATCATCGTAAGACTCAAAGTTTAAACCTGGATGAACGATGCAATCATCAATGACAGTATAATATATAACTTTCATTTCTTTTTAATTTTGTTAAATAAATTTTCTTAAATAAATTGCGAAATGATGCAATTTGCTATAAATACCGGTGGTTTCGTGTCTGGGTTCTATTGAAACTTGATTTGGATGGATGGCGTTGAAGTGGTGTGATTTCTATATTAACAGCAGCATTTGTCTAATATGTCTAGGGTCTGGTGCAAGGAGCAAAATGGGCAGAAGGAAGTCCAATGTGGAAGCGTGCAAATACCATGAAATCTAACTTGTGGGAGCAACTAAAAAGTAGTGCAGATACAGACAAAAATGACCAGGCGAGCCAAACAAATCCATGCAATATTAGTAATGTGATATCATATCCCGCACTCAATTCAATTTAATTTGTATTGCATCTCAACCTGGATTTTAATGTTAACATTTTAGTCAATCCTCAACCTTTAGCAAAATTAACTAGTTTTGTTGATATATTTGAGATGGAAAATGGTAGAATTTATATAACAAAACTCTTCCTTTTTGTTTACAGATAAGTCTTACCGAATGGGTCGATTTTTGGGCGGAATGTGCTGCGAAATACGTCAATGACACCGATCTTCCTTTCTGGTACACAGAGTTTCTCGACGTATATTTTTGTTTCATGGACAAAAATGGTAAGATGTTATAAGTAATTTGTAAATCAAGAAATAAAAAATTTACCAATAAGAAATACCCGATGACATTGCGATTTGTATTTTAGGAGATGGATGGATAGATTGCACTGAATTCGTTGCCTATTTCCATGGGTTACGAAACATCCACCAAGACATTGTAGAAACTGCATATCGAAGGATTACATTGGTAGCTAAATCTATCATTAAATATAAGAAATTGTTATTTTCGACAGTGAGCAAAAAGGGGAGGGGAGTATATCCGGAGTGGATAGATGAACCTTTGAGTGATAAATATAATTCTAAAATATATAATCCCCTTTCTTCATATCAAAAAATAAAATACACCAATACGTTGACAATGTATATGTTTTCTTATCGATAGGAAGGGCATTTAACCTCTGTCATATGTATGTGAATTGGAGGATAATTGGTTATATGTCGAGTCAGGGTTGTGGAAAATATATCATTTTGTTGCAAATCAAATGATGTATCAAGAATAAAAGGCAGAGGCGTGATGTTCTAGATACTTAAAAGTATGAATGCTTGTAAATACATTGAATACGTCTTCTAATCTATTGGAAGAGCATTTAACCTCTGTCATCTGTATGTAAAGAATTTAATTCTTGAGATATGAAGTAATTTCTCCTTTCAGAATGAACAACGTCACATCGACATCAAACTCTTTCGGGAGATGGTTATTGGATACACTGTGTCCAAGGATATGAAAAGCCCTGGAAATATAATGGGAGAAATGTTGGTCAAAGAAATAGGTTGTGAAACGGAATTTAAACGCACCGAATTCTGGGACATAAAACAAAGGCATCATTTCTTCTATTGGTTTGGTAAGCAGAGTTGTGAAATAAAATTAAGATATAAATAAATGAAATACTAGAAATAGTAAGAACTTTATTGCATATAAAATAGCTGTACACACAATTCGATAACATTCCAGATCAAGACAGAAATGGAGTTGTCGAGAAGAAAGATTTCGCGGAAATTGCTAATGTGAGTTTATTTAATTTTTGGGGGATACAAAAATGTGATGTGGTGATATTAACAAGTCAATATAAAAAATGCACCCGATGATTTATGCATTCTATTCATAGAATATATAAACATATTATATTCTATAAAAGTCCCAAAGAAAAAATGTTTTTATAACTAATTTACTATTTATCATGAAATTAAAAGTTGATTTAGAGATTTGTTGAAACAGATATTATAAAAAAAATTCATTCTAAAATATTCAAATTTCCCGCCAATTTTCAAATTAAAGTTGAATTTTTTTAATCATCAAATATTTGTAGTTTGATCATTTTAAATATTAGAATATGTGAGCATATTGTCATGCAAAATTGCACTTGATTCACTCACTTGAATCATTACTAGAGATAAAGCATCACGGGAATCATCACGCCCGTTTGATTTTTTTGTTTGTGAAAGAATAAAATAATTCTAAAATTAGATTCCCTTGGTTTTGGGTTACATCACCGTATAACATGAACGGTCTTGTATGTCAATGAACTAAAAATTACAGAGACTCCATTTTTATACATGCCAATGGACATTTATAACCAGAAAATATAGTACGATGTGACTAGTTGGATACCATAATTTGCCCAGACATCCAGTTCAAGCAAACGGATACAATATCTAAGAAAATATAGTCCATCGGTCTTGTTATTCTAGATAATTAGTCCCTGGCAATATTTTCCAGGACTTTTATAGGGAAGACAATATTATGTTTAAAAAATGATCCTATCGTTTGTTACTGTAAGAACTTTTCTCTGTTCCATGCATTAATACGTAAGGTTGAATTCTGTATATGAAAAAATATTATGTGTGACCTTATACGATGAGAAATTCATGATTATTTCAAACAAAAAGTCCTTCAAAAACCACTTTTTATGATTAAAAATAAAGCTTTACATATCATACTGTAAGACTACAATTTCAGCCAAAATAGTTCAAACTTTATATTCAACAATTTTATACAGAATATCCTAACCATGACAGAGTGGAAAGAAGGTAGTGCGATGTGGTTGAAATGCAAGAATGTATTTGCAAACACGTGGGAGGAGTTAAAGCGTGCAGCAGATGTCAATCTGGATGATAAGGTTAATTTATTCTTCATTTTGTTCAATTTTGTTCATGAGGTTGATCGGCAGTAATATATAATGGATTTTTTTCATGGCAGTCGACAAACTACTTACTTCAGGACATTTGAATTTACATGGAATGGCTTGCCTAATGGCATCAAATGCAAAGCTATAAGATTTCATGGGATTTTACACAATTAACCCTATTTTTTTAGCCCGAGCCACAGCTTTAAATACACTTTTTTGGGTAAAAACCAAAGTGATTAGGGGTAGACGGGAAAAGTTATGATAGTTTGAACTTGATGCCAATACAATTAAAATTCATAAGATATTTATTGTTATTGTTTTTCCAATGCTCTAGAAAATACAAAAGGATTATTGCTTTGTTTGATAAATAATAACTTAGCATATTGAACCTCTTTCAGTATTGACTGTGTTATGAATTTTCAAAGGGAAAAAACTGTCAATCCCCAAGTAGTCGTGAGACATGTTATCATCACAAATTTTAGAGAAAATAATTTTCTGAAGATACATTTCTGAAGAGGTAATTCAATACGGTTTAAAACAATACCAACAATAATGAAAGCAGACAAGTAATAAAAAATCTCAGATTATGTTATAAAAAAAGGTTGCAGATATCATTGTTAAAATCACTATATTGTGTACTGTGGCATTAAACAACTGGGGTTGCCTGGCTTAGAGTAGGAGTTGGAATTTGTTATTGGTTCTGTGAGGGCGAAAGGAAGGAGATCATGATAAAAACTACATTATTTCTGGTATACACTTTGACACGTTTTCTAATTTATTTTTGATAGTGTTTGGTTTGTATCTCAATATCTTCTTAAACACATTGTTCTGATTGCAATATTTTGTTTTGATTTGCACCAAAAATGTGATGATAACTAGCAAAAATGTATAAATAAACATAACCATTAAAAATGTGATGATATGCAGCAGTACGTCGAAATGGAAACGAAAGGCATTTGATTGCACATGTTTATTATGTATTATTATATACCTCATATGTATTCTCGATGCTCATTAGCTTATTCATGGTCACATGATATGAAATAGATGAAATAATTCCCTAGAAAGTCTTAAATCCCTGCTAAATCAGGGAAGATGAAATGTACAAATCACCAGTTACGTCATGTGACCAGTCATTAGTACGTTCTATCTTCCCCGATAACTGAGAGTATAGGAGTTGAAAGGCAAAATGCCTTTAAATGCCAATAGGAACATGTAAGCATAAAATGTTCAAATGAAATGATTTCTCACTTTGTTTCCGTTTACAGAGTACATATGAGGCAATAATAAAACAAATAGTGACTGCCACATTATGGGAAAATAGTGTAACAATTTCCCCTCTGGAATGTCCTGTCCACTGACACATTCCCTCGGCTTGTCGCCTCGTAACATCTCAGTGGACAAGACATTCCATCGGGTAAAATAGTTTACACTATTTGCCTCAATGGCAGTCACTTTTTGTATACTATAATAATTATACATGTCCTCTGAATAAATAAGTGTACCAATACCTAGATATATGTTTTATATATTTGTCATATAGTTTAGTTCCTCATTACGTAATTATTTGTTTTTTGTCTTAGGACGATGGAAGGGATGAATTCTTAAAATAGAACTTTCAAATTGTAAAAACCGAATATGTTTGAAATCAAATTTTGGTCATTATTAGCGATCGAATATCTATATATATTTTACACGAATTTTATATACTAAATGTATTTTTCTCATTACATACATAAAGGTCACCATTGATGAATGGCTTAACTTTATGGAGAACACATGCAAGCAAATTAAAGCTAAGACCATGGATACACCTTCTTGGTATAGAGCATGGCTTGATGTATTCTTCGATGTGATTGATAGCCTTGGAAATGGTACGTTGTGATAAAGATGTTCAGCAGTTTTCTACTTTAACTGTCTACAGATATTGTCTTATATTCTGTTATTTTTGTAACTGACAACTTAATATGTTGACTCTTTTCAGCTGATGGATGGATCGAGTGCGAGGAATTTGTTTCATTTTTTCGAGTACATAAGATTCCAGATGAAGTGTCTAGGAAGTGTTTCAATGAAATTACTTTTGTATGTATACATTACATTGCATATAACATTAGATAACTTCATAGTATGGTAATATTTACTAGAAACAATAAAATTCATCATTTAATTGCTTTGACAATTTCAAAACGTCCTCTGGGATGGAAGTTGTATCGCCATGGCAATAAATTATTTTTGTGGCATTGTTAACGTAACCCGATTTGCCTACATGTATTTCAACTGTTTCATTTAACATATCAGTGATCATGGATGCAGTATGCATTAGGAACGTCTAAAATAGAATATAATAAAATAATTAATACAGTTTGTGACTAAGAATACTATGATTTGAAATTGTTCTTTCATGACTGTTATTGACTGATATGCCACATTAGTTAACATCTTTAATAAAGTTAAAAATTACACAAAAACACAAGAATTATCAATTAAGTTGAATTTTCCGTAGATCATTTTTACAGTTAGTTTATACATTTTTTTCAGGACGGGCGAATTGCTATGGATCGGGATTATTTCAATTTGGTGATTCTTCAGTATAGTATATCCAACGATATGAATTCCCCCGGGAATATCCATGCTAGAATGCTGCTTCTCCTCGACGAACAGTTATAGAAATCTATTATTTGGAGTAATGACAATTTTATTAACGACAATTGAGCAAACTAGTGTCAGGAAAATGTGACTATTTTCCATAATGTGACTATTTCAAAAGGGCTTCTTCGAATAAATAATTTGAAAAAAAGTTCCGAGAATAGAATTAACATATACGTATTCATCTTATTTAAAAGAATTTACACATTTAATAACGAATATAACAAATTCTTTGCGAAGTACAACGTAATAAAATATCCTCAAAGACTTAAATAAATGAAATATGTCACGAACAAATGATAAAACTGCTCGAAACCATATCAAGAGTTTTATTCAGTTTAGTTTGAACCTAGAAAATATCTATCCCTACTAATACACCAACATAGTTTTCACTACGTTCTCAAAAACGGACTTCAACTGTGTACGAACGGACTGGGCGTACTTAGAACCGGGTAGGTCCTCTAGAACTTAGAACATGCTCAAAATGTTCTCGTGGTCGATACGTTCTACAATTTGAACGAGTGACAACATACTAAACGACGAGCTGGACGTACTACAAACGGAACCATCGTACTTCAATCCTATTAGGGACGTTTTAACAAGACGAGTTGAACTGTTTGAGAACGTATTGAGATTGAGGTAGAACTAATTGCAAACGGGTTTAAATTGATGAAGAACGTATTTAAGACTGCTTATGAACGAGTTTGCAAAAATATAGCTATCACACCAGCAAGTTGCCACTGCGTTCTTCAAAACTTGTTTTAAACTGTGTGCGAATGGAATCATCGTAGTTGCAACTTTCTAGGGTCTATTTACGAACTTCATGAACGTTCTCAGACGGGAAGGTGATTTTAGAATTTTGATGACGTGGTGCGACCTGAACGAACTGTGAATGAGATGGACGTATTGAAGACTGTTTATGAACGTAGTAGCTAATTATTTTAGACATATTTCCCGACCACAGCCAGATTGGGCCCTTTTTACGACGTTTTCGTAGGACTGGCAAGAACGGATAAGAACTTATTTGGATTGATAGCTGGGTTAATTGCCCCATATTCATGAAAGAAATAATTAATCAACTTCGACGCTATTCTTTGCTCAAGTTCCCGTTGGGATCATCCTTTGTTGAACTTTGGCTCGATACCATAAAGAAGTGGTTGTTCTGTTTATAATTACCACACATATACATACAGTATGTATGTTATAACCAAACACTTTGTAATTTAGCACTCCACTCCATGAGTTTGGGAACCCCAACTTCCTCATTTGATTACGTGCTAACGCTTCTTTATGTTTAACTTTTTATTTGCATATACTACTTTTAGGCTTAAGATATAAATTGACATCATTTCTAATACCTCGTATTTTCCTCATTTTTCAACAAAAACAATAGGTCAGATATTGATGACAAATTGAGATTTGCGATCACCAGATAGATTTTATCTTGTAGTGACGTCACAATTAGGTCACTCAGCTTTAGATGTTTGATTTTGAGAGATTATCTTCTATATTTCGTGCTTTATTGATTTATTTTTCACGAAAGCGTTCGATTTGACTAGATCAACATTCATGCTAAGCATATACCAAGTCTAAGATCTTTCTGACGTGATTTAGATAGCGGTTAAGCGCCCCCCGATTTCACCCAAACTTCGCACATATATAGATATACTCATGATCTAGTCAAATCGGCATACCTGGTAAATATTCGACCCATGGTTTTCATAAAAGAAACGACAATATTTTTTGATCAAAACTGCCACGTGTCCGCCATTTCGTGATTCCATCATGTCCAATATCATTTCTATATGACGTCACACCAATAAGACGAAATACATGACAACAGTATCCATAAACAAAATTCCTGAATTCTGATCGCAAAAGGTCAATCGTCGCAGGGTAAATGAAAGAATATCCATCTGTCCGGGTTTTCGCAAAAATACAGGTTAGGTAGAAAACTGAATTTGCTTGCTTTGTTTAACAAAAGAGTGATATCTTTCTCCACGTTCGACAAATTTATACATCTCTAAAGTCAAAATTAGTTTTCAAGACACCTTGAAATAACACAGAATGAGAAAAATGGTTTTCGAAGTTTTCCTATTGAAATAACACAGAATGAGAAAAATGGTTTTCAAAAATGACTTTGGAAAAAATTAAGAGGAATTGGAAATGAAGTAAAGTTACATTTTCATATTTATCATAAGCATCAAATATTTGAAATTAGAATAGATACACAATGAGCTACAAGTATCAACTTGTATTAAAGTAACTATCATGTATTACTGCTTATATCACTGTCATACGTTAATAAAACACAATTTATGAATTTGCTATTATAACGTATGGGAACTTTATCGCATCTGGTTGATATATAAACTATTAATGCAATGAGCCTATGCCAGGAAACAGCCCAATGTCAATTGCTAAAAGTTGTGGCTGGAAATTTTACACCATTGACTAACATATTATGGATGGAAAATATACCAAATTTGAGTAGTTTCCCGATGTGTAGTATTTTTTTTATCATTATACTCTAAAATCAAAGTAACAAAGTCCCAGTAATTGGAAACGTGTAAAAGGTTTGATGATAAGATTCCAAAATCAAGTGGTACTAACCTCGACCGTTAATTTGAATTTTTGACCTACCGGATGTTTGAAAATCAAGGGTTACGAGTCTCGTACTGCACCGTTTATCTTCAAACTTGTTCCATTCAAAGCATAACAAAAATCCCTTTCTGTTGGAACATTATTCTCTTAAACAGAGTCTCTACTTCCAGCGGCATTTTGGTCCCCCGCTGTAAGAAGACATTCTAACAACTGGGGACCGAAACGCTGCTAGAACGAGGGACTCTTTACAATAAAGTAATGCACCGACAGAAAGGCAATTTTGTCTTGCTTTCAATGGTATAAGTTAAGAAGAAAAATGGTGCAGTATGAGACTCGCAATCCTTGATTTTCAAGCATCTGGTATGTCAAAAATTCAAATTAACGGTCGAAGTTAGGACCGCGTGAAAATGGCTTTTTCGAATTTACTCAATATGCATAAACACTAATAAATTCAAAGTTTTCTTGCTTCATAGTATTTCCAATGGATTAATAAGTACCCGGTCTTTCACTTGACACCAAAAACAGCTCAAAGAGACCACATCAGAGTTAACACTAGATCATGAAAAGATATTTTTGATCTATCAATTCATATATGTAAGTTTTTAGCAATGCATTGAAATATGGCATTGTTGTCTTCATAAATTATGGATTCATTTTTGATAGGATTTCAACCATATGCCATCTTTTAATCCAATAATCATTTAAAAACACACACTTTGTGAAAAGTGGTAATTCACTTCTTTTGATCTCTGAACTTCAAATGCTGTTTTCTATGCGAGCATTTTTTTACTTCAGTATTGACCCAAATTAAAGTTTTATCGTATTTGATAGAGTGTGTGAGTAACATGTTTCAACTAATATTTTGTCATTTTCCATCAAAAATAGGCACATTGCCTGTTTAAGAAGAACACTCAGTTATTGAACATTTCAATGATTCGCCAAAAAATCAAGCCATCAATTGATTTTGCAGAAAACGTAGACGAGACTGCACATAGCAGTTCGTTTGGTGCGTTAACACTCACCTGCAAAAGGTGTTAATTGAATTAAAATGGAGAATCTTCTAATGTTATTAAGAATATTGTAGAAGGCCCGAGTGCTAGCGATTCATGATTCTGTTTTACATCTGTCAGGTTATTCACAAAGACAGTTGTTGTTGATTCATTTTCAGTCCAATAATGTCTAGCATCTTGGTTTTGGTTTTGCGATGACAATGTATTATTCGGGAAAGACATTTCTGAAGAAGTTGTGTTCTGAATTATTGAAAGTAACAAATTTCAAAGTAATTCTTATAGACGTAAAAATGCATGAAAAGTGCATGATTGCTTATAATAGAATACGAAATATACATAGTACTGAACACAAACATCAACACAAAGATCCCTAACTTTAACATAATTGTCAACTGTCTGTAACTATTTGAGGTCAACAATGAATCAAATATAGCAGTTCGGCAGGATTTACTGTTTTGCAAATTATTTGAGCAATTTTCACACAATTTAAACAAAAAATGTTTAAATGTGTAGAAATGATCTGTGCCTTGTTACTTAATGGCGTAAGTAACCATACTTAGTTCTTCAACTAAACGTTACTTTGACAACTTTTGTACAAGTGTCTAAGTTCCTTTTTAAGTCTTTGGTGCAGCATTAGTTTGGGTGATACAAGTGTTCAACATCACCAACTGACGGGCATTTGAGAGTCGTAAAACTACATGCTGATTCTTACATTATTTGAGTTATAATGTTTTATACAAACGTCAGATATGGTAGAACTACGGTAAAAATGATATCATTTTAAAGCTTATCCAAAGTTACATTGCTTTGCCAAGTATCATGGTTTAACTCCCAAATGGGATAAAGTTACAGTCATTTTAAAAGTTAGTGTTTTATCAAAATAAAGTTCAATTTTACACCACATTACTAATCAATGTGTCCCCCTTGGCCATGTTAACAGCATCAATTTTTTCAGATATATATTTAAAGCCCTTCAAATAGGGGTGTGGGATTAAATAACCCTCTTAAAACTTGTTAAGGGACTTTAGAAGAGTTTCCTTAGAGTTTCTACCCTCACCATTCTCTTTTTCCAACTCAATATCCCTCCGACTCGATAAGTTGAGTGATGACATTGCATCATAAATTGCATGAACTGCATCATGATTGGGTAATGGACTGTTGACTGTCATGGTGTAATTTATAGAACCATTTACTGCTTGCCTCATCCTCTCATGGTCTTTAACTGATAGGACATTGTATTTGTCAAAGACCCATATTCTCACTTTCAGGGGCATATTGAGAAAGACGCTGTCTCATACTCTCGGCTAGAAGAGAGACATCTCCTTTGTGTGGCCAGGTGACATGATACAATAGTTAAGCACCATCTACAATGATGACATTGGGATCCTCTGCAGAAAGTTTCTGTACACCCAGACGATTGACTAGGACAGATTTATACCCTTTTCTCAAACAGCCATATTCTCATCAATAATAATTGCAGCCCTAATTTGCATATATAATGTTACCCAAACTTATTTTAGCAGCCCACTTAAATTACTAAGGAAACTACCATTTGGTCAATACTTTCGATTGCACTGCAAGCTTGGTTAACAAAATATTTTGAATAAATGCGAAACACCTATTAAAAATTAT